GAATATGGTATTTGGTGAGAGATCACGAACACTTTCAGTGACACACTCTCTCTCTCTCTCTCTTTCTTTCACACACACACACACCCCTCCCGCTCCACGCGGTAACGTTAACGGGACAGCACTGCGGTGGTTGAGCATACTGTAGCTACACTTTCAACCCCTCACAGGCCTGGTGTTTTAACTAAGAAAGGAGGAGAGGCGCAAAAAAATGGGCGTATGCTTTAGAACAGACCACCATCATCTCAGAAGTGATGTCTTGGAGCTTTCTGCTTGCATAAAACATGATCTGCACATGTGCAATGCTATTCATTTGTGTATGTGGTTAATGCAAGTGGCATGCAAATCCTTTTGAGGTGTGACATGAAATCTTTTTCTTAAATGCAATATGCCTAAATAATCCAAACTAAATGGTAACATCTCTTTAGGCAGACATGTAGGTGGCATTAGTGTCGTTTTGGCTGCATAAAGCAGCAAACGGAAGCAGTGCAGCCAATAACAAAGCTCAGCAAAGTGCTACTACAGACAGTTCGGTCGCTGTGGTAACAGCATCACTGTAATGACTGCTGAGCTCACAGCAGCAATCAAAAAGAGAGAAATATTCGGCCCTGTGTCCAAACTATGGCCAAAGAGCTGGCCACTAATGGCAAACGGTGACTCAGATAGTCAACCAATTTAATGAGTTGGAAACAGATTATATGACAATCAAGGATGAGCTGTTTTTCCCCCGGTATATAGTGGATGAATCATTCTGTCATCAAATTAAACATTTCTTATATCATGAAATTGTTCATTTGTTGTTAGAATCACCACAGCCAGAAGTCTTCCATTAATGGTTATGTTATGTTATGTTATGTTATGTTATGGTAATGGAATTTTTTATTATTCATGAGCTAAATTATAATGTCATCATGATTTGAAAAATGTAAGAATTGTGGTTATGACATTTATATTTTGACTCTGTCAACCCTCTACAATGCGAGTGAATAACTCACATATGCGACAAGATTTTCATGCTAGGCAACTTAATGTGTATCATTAACCACTGGCTAATAATTTTTTTTTTTATTATTAATTTACAGATAGAGCAAACACTTATTATTATTTAATATTTTATCATTACTATTATATTTACAAGTAGAAAAAAACAGTATTATTATTTAAACTATTATATTTACAAGTATAACAAACACTATAATTATTTTTAATTATTTTATTATTTGGGTAGAACAAAAACACTATTATCAGTTTATATTATAATTTTATTTACAGGTAGAACAAACACTGGCTGTAGTTTGATCTGTATTGATGACATTGAAAGGGTTTTTTCTGGCTCTCTGAAACTGCTGCATCATTCTCAGGTGTGTGTGTGTGTGTGTGTGTGTGTGTGTGTGTCTATCTGTGTGTGTGTGTGTGTGTGTGTGTGTGTGAGTGTGTGTGTGTGTGTTTTTATTCTTCATTAAATGTTTTCTCTGTGTGATTGGTCATGGTTGAGTTTTTCTCTCCTCCTGCTGCCAAACACTGATTCGTCATCTGAAGACACAGATGAGTCTCTCCGTCTGTCTTCATTGAGAGTGAGACAGTTTCATGTTGTCTGTTGCTTTACATTATTCATGAAATTGTTCATTTGTTGTTAGAATCACCACAGCCAGAAGTCTTCCATTAATAGTTATGTTATGTTATGTTATGGTAATGGAATTTTTGATTATTCATGAGCTAAATTATAATGTCATCATGATTTGAAAAATGTAAGAATTGTGGTTATGACATTTATATTTTGACTCTGTCAACCCTCTACAATGCGAGTGAATAACTCACATATGCGACAAGATTTTCATGCTAGGCAACTTAATGTGTATCATTAACCACTGGCTAATAATTTTTTTTTTATTATTAATTTACAGATAGAGCAAACACTTATTATTATTTAATATTTTATCATTACTATTATATTTACAAGTAGAAAAAAACAGTATTATTATTTAAACTATTATATTTACAAGTATAACAAACACTATAATTATTTTTAATTATTTTATTATTTGGGTAGAACAAAAACACTATTATCAGTTTATATTATAATTTTATTTACAGGTAGAACAAACACTGGCTGTAGTTTGATCTGTATTGATGATATTGAAAGGGTTTTTTCTGGCTCTCTGAAACTGCTGCATCATTCTCAGGTGTGGGTGTGTGGGTGAGTGTGTGTGTGAGTGTGTGTGTGCGAGTGTGTGTGCGTGTGTGAGTGTGTGTGTGTGAGTGTGTGATGCGTGT